ACTCTCACCAATACAAGGGTCAGATGGACTCATGAATCCAGAACTGCCCCCATATGGTAATTCCACCGGCCCAGTCTTCAGAGTTAAACGTTATTGAAAATTTGTGGGCTCTGCTGGAAAATAACATCCGGAATCACAGCATATCCAGCAAACAGGATCTCAAGAATGCTCTGCTGGATGAATGGAGCAAAATCAGTCTAGAAACTACTCGGAAGCTGGTATCTTCGATGAATAATAGGTTAAGGGAAGGCATTAAGGCTAAAGGACATCATACTAAGTATTAATATCCTTATTTAAGTGTTTATACGCCTGGAAAATAACATCCGGAATCACAGCATATCCAGCAAACAGGATCTCAAGAATGCTCTGCTGGATGAGTGGAATAAAACCTGTCCGGAAACAACCCAGAAGCTGGTATCTTCAAATTGCTGGATACGGCCTCGTCATTACTGCGAGGGAATCACTGGGCAAATCCACCATCTTTTTGGGAGCGCGCATGCGCAGCGACGGCGTATTTTTTCAGCCGGTGAGTGCGTTCCAGTATGGAATAAGTGCCATCACATGCTCCTAGGATAAGCCTTCAGCAACCGAAGTCGCATAAAATTTAAATTCAAACGCATGAGCAGAAGAAAATTATTGTCACGCTCGAATGTTAAATTGCGTACTTTATATTGAAACACAAATTGTAAAAAAAAAAACGAAAAAAAATCGACTTCGCGCATGCGATCAGAGCCAAACAAATCATACATTGTGCCGAACCAAGATTTAGCGCCCAGAGCGCAGTGCTCCAGCGCATCCATTCCACATTCAGAATATTTAAGTAAATGTTGTATGTAGGCGATTATCTGTGTATTTGAATGTTATGTTAAGTAATTTGTATATCTATTCGTTCCTGGTCTAATGAACTTGTGGGATGGTTCGGATGTGGCTGAGCTGAGGCCACCAGGCGAGTCGCGGGTTGCGGATAGCGAATGGCTAGCTGGTTAGCTGGTTAGCTGCGAATAATACGAGATTCCTCGTAAATAAGCAGTCCCGGACAAACAGCGGATGCGATAATGTCAATCGCATTGACAAGGCGCTTGTGTTGCCGCCTTTAAAGTGTAGCCTCACATAACCCCCTATCTCCCCTCACAATTACCTACACCATCCTATCCCCCACATCTCACTCCGGGCCGGACTAAGGCGTTATCCGAACCGTGCCGAGAGTCAGCTTGGCTGGGGCCCGGGGAAAGACTAGCCCAGTCTCGAACGGTGAGCTCAGGCAAATGGCGACCGCCTGTTCTAATTTAGCCTTACCCGGGTAATGCGTATCTCTGCCCGGGCGGACAAATACTTCTCCGCAGCTCGTGGGATTCCATGAATAAGTCACAAAATATAAAGATACCGCAGGATCTCCCTGCGGAGTATGTCGCAAGACACTTAGAGGGTCGAGCCCTAGACGGGGAAAGACCCTTTCGTGTGGTAGAGAGTGCCGCTTGCACAACAAACTCCGGCTTTGTGGCAAGGGAGAGTGATGGTCGGACCACCCGGCCCAGCACCGAACGCTGCGAGGCAGGGCGCACAGCGCCCTAATAGGAAGGAAGAGTTCCTGCCACCGAGTGGTCAACCCGGTGTGCTGGATGACCCGAACCGGAAAAATCTCTGCGGTTCGAGGGTCAAGTGGTACCTTCGGTATCTCCAGGGACTCACCCCTGATGAAGCCCAGAAAAAGACCAAAGAGCCGAAGGAGGAGGTTACAGCACCCGCGCCAGCCCCAAAAAGGCGTAGCAGCAATCTCACACCACCTGTGGCCACCCCCAAGAGGATGTGCCCGGTATGTCATGGTATGGGCATATATCTCGGCAGCGGGAATTTGATGTTTATTGAACCAACAATGGACAAGAATGCGTACCTCAATATATTAAAGGAAAATTTACTCCAAAGTGCCGAGAAGCTGGGAATCCAACGTACTTTCCGGTTCTACCAGGACAACGACCCGAAGCATAAGTCCAGAATAGTGCAGTCCTGGATTATCTGGAACTGCCCCCACATGATAATTCCACCGGCCCAGTCTCCAGATTTAAGCGTTATTGAAAATTTGTGGGCTCTGCTGGAAAATAACATCCGGAATCACAGCATATCCAGCAAACAGGATCTCAAAAATGCTCTGCTGGATGAATGGAGCAAAATCAGTCTAGAAACTACTCGGAAACTGGTATCTTCCATGAATAATAGGTTAAGGGAAGTTATTAAGGCTAAAGGATATTTGAATAAAAACTAGTTTATTCACATACACACCTGGTATGCCTTTCAACCATTCAGAAGATGTGGTATTTAAAAAGCAACATCACATCATAATTTAAAAAAAAAAATACAGCAAAAAAAAACAAATAACAGCGAGAAAAAAAAAAAAAAACAACAAAAAAATATATCCAAAGCCAAAAAAAAGCAGCAAAAAAATATATCCAAAGGCAAAAAAAATATATCCAAAGGCAAAACAAAAATATATGCAAAGGCAAAAAAAATATATCCAACTAAAGCCAAAGTAAGCAGCCAATGTATTCGGCAGCGCAATAATTTCTGCAACTGCCTGCCCTGCAAAGCTGCGGTCTAGCAAGTCAATAGATTTGAGCTTTTACCATTTGGGAATTGTAACTCAGATACAGCATCAGCTGGTAGTAGCTGTCGCCAGTGCTGCCACTATGTTTGTGGCAGCCGTAGTCATTCAGCTGTAGAACTGTTATCACTCTTGTATGAGAGAAATGCTCATTCGACGGATTTAATAGCCAATTCTCAATAATTATTCTCAGCCACTGGCATCAGATTATGAAAATAAAATTCAATAATTCATTTCGTTTTTCCTTTTTTTATTATGCTCAATTTTCTGTTTCGACTTTTGTGTATATATTTTGTTACGCATGCGATTATATGTTTATATATATTTACTTCCGTGATGTTTTTGGTTTTTGGTTTGCTTTATTAAATTGTTTTTTTTTTTGTTTTTGTTTGTTTGATTTGCTTTTACAAATAATCATCATCGCTCAACGTACACACTTATGTAAATTCTATGTTATTTATTTAATAAATAGTTTCATATACTCATTAATTTTATGCATACACATATATGTCCATATATATTAATAATTTACACCACAAAAAAAAAAAAAAAAAAAACTAAACAATTATATTTGTCTGCATTTTTTATTTAGATTTTTTTTTTTTTTTTTAATTATTTGCTTGATGCGTTTTCGCTTTGTAAGTGCCTTTTTTTCTGTTCTGATTGGCTTTTAGTGCTGATCCAAGGTTAGTGCTGGGGCCCATTGCTGGATGTGACTTGGGCGACTGAAGCTAGTTTTTATTTATTTATTTTAAATTGGTGTTTTTCTCCGAGCTTTGATCATTATTGTTTTTATTTTATGTTTCCTTTGGTGGGCGTAAGCGTGCCAGCGGCGCCCCGTCTACCGGATCAAGCCAAAATACAAACATTACACATGCAAGTTGTTTTTATTTGTTAAGCACTTCTTGTTGTTGTTTTTGTATTTAACACTATGAATTAATTACAAGTAATTCATAATTAACTCTGTTTATTTCAATTTATTTATTTATCTTTTCTTTAAGCGACTATTTTACATCAAAATGCAAATATAGCATACGTGTGTATATATGTGTGTGTGAGTGTTTTATGTATGTAAATATGCTTATGCATACAGATGTATGCTGGGCTTTATAATAATGCTATAGTTATATGTAGTATATATGTATATATTATGGTTTTCCATTTTCTCATTCTATCAACGTATATAATGAGTAGTAGCACAATGTTTGGACGAAGATGGTTGTTGAAATAGAAGCGTCTAAGTGTTAAATGTTAGGTGTTTGTGTGTGTTTGTATAGTTGATATTCTAGTAAGCAAACTTGAAGCTGATAAATCAGGTCGAAAGTGTTATAAAATAAACAAAACAAGCCATTTGCCTAACTCAGGTTATATTGGATAATGCGAAATTCGACCGAGCACGTCTCAATTTACATTGTTTTTGAAGGATATACTACTAACCAGAGCATATATACTTACATATATATATATATAAATATATATATATATGGATTTAGTTTTTTGTTTTACAAGAAAATCATAGCTTAGCATTTACTTTCGTATCCTGGACTCTCCTCTATTTTTTTATCTACTCTAATTGCTGCTTGTATTGTCATATAGAGCTTTTTGACTAGATTTATGAGGGTACATGAACATCTGGACTATCAGCTATGCCCGACCCTATAGTATATGGAGTATTATGATGTGTTATTCTGTAATCGATAAATTGTTGCAAACTCGCCAAAAAAAAAAACAACAAAAAAATTAATACAACTGAGCTTTTACACTCTGAAAGAGCTCAAGTCTCGAATAAATGCTTGGTACATCTTGCTAAAACCTGCTTCAGTCCATAACTGTTGTATGTGTATATATGCTCTTTGGTGAGTGGCTAGTGTATGTTCCCATTCTTCACATACATAGGTTAATAAGTGTATGTAAGGGTATATGTATATGTAAAGGCATATATGATATTTATATATATATATATATATGTATGTATTTTTTACCCGAACAATCGCAGCGCTCTCCCTGCTCATTATTAACTATTAGTACTAAGCTTTGCAAAAAGGCGTGCAATTTTCTTTCAACTCATTTCATTTCATATTTTTTTTGTATTTTTTTTTCGATTTGTTATTTTGTTTCTTATTATTTATTTTCTGTTTTTTTGGTTTCAGTTTACGTATTGGAACAAAAGGTTTACGCTTGTTATTTGTCATAGCTTCCACATACTGTTTTATTTTCTCTCTTTTCCGATCTGTTATAACTTTATTCTACTGTACTCACAAAAAGAAAAAAAAAAACACAATCGATAGCTAAATTAGAACAATGTCTAAGCATTATATAAGTATCAGCGTTATATCAACCTAAGACTATACACATATGCATATTTATTCACATATATATATGTATATATATTTATATATATATGTATATACAATTATATATATACTATATCATTAGAATTCTGTCTAATATGCATGCGCTCCTCTCTCTTTCTATATCTATCCAGCCTTTCGATAGCTGTCGCTTAAATATAAATGGGATTCTCCTGGCCAGTTAACAAGCGGAACATTGACGTAGGCATCGTTTTCATGAGTATCTGTAAAAAGAAAGGGGACGATTAGATATTGGATTCTTATTAGTAATTGAGAGCTGTGTACGGTCACCTCGCCCACCGATGTGGCCAGCAAATTGACGATCTTCTCGTGCGGTACAGCCACCACGCTCTGGTTATTAATCTCAATGATACGATGACCGACCCGAACGCCGCCCCGCTCCGCTATACCGCCACGCAACAGACTGCAGATCTGAAAGAGATACATTGAAAAGGCGTATGATTAAAATATGCTTTTGCCAGGAATAACTGGTTCTCTTCAAATTTTTGTTATTTTTAAACGTGTCTTATTCTTCGGTCTAACTGTTTAAGCCGCGCATGTGGACCACTCTGTTCGTCAGTAAGTCAGCACCAATTCATTCATATTGGATGATTAGGTCAGTTACTCGCACTCACCACGCCATTTTGAACGCTGAATCCCAGCTGATATTTGGTTTCTGGCCTCTTGATCTTGACCTCGACGACGGGGGCACAGGGCACAACTGTAAATTTGACAACGGTCTGGTTCTTTGTGTTCTTGATGTACGTCTGACAGGTGGAGAGGGGCAGACCAACCAGGCTTAGACCATTGATGGCTATCAGCTGATCGCCAATGTTCAATTGACCGCAACGCGCCGCTGCCCCAGAACTCATGAGATTCGCAATGACGACCGTTGGCAGCATTGAACCCCAGCCGCTCTCCACAATGACAACGCCTAGTATTTCACCCTTGGCCTTGGGTACAACCACCTCCTTTTGCAGTTCCTTCTTCGCAAAGATCTCGAGCTCATCGCCGAATATCTCTTGGCTGTTAAGCACCTCCTGGTAGTCCATCTCCTTGACAAAGCGATGATCCTCAATGCCATTGGCCTTCAGGAATTCCATGTAAGCCACCTGAAAGGCCTGGCCTATCGACTGTGCTATAAACTGAGCCTCATCGCTCTCAAATACATGACATATCATCTTTGGCGTACGATTTGGTTTGGGGGCATCGTCAATGTCCTGGGGCACAAAACGACGACGCGCCATCAACACCACTAGATCACCGATATCTGCTATATAGGAGATGGTGCGCAGCGCATGATCCATCATGATCTCCTTCAGATCGGTATTCAGCACCATTATCTTCTCCGTCGATATGAACAGATCTACTTCCGTGCTTGGCTGCACATCGCCATCCGGTGCCTGCAAAAAAGCATGATGGGAGTTAGTATATTTCTTATATATAATCGCTTAAGTTCATAATTAATTTAGATAACTTCAAGCTTATTGCAGGCAACCAAACAAAAAAAAAAACAAAAATGGGGATACATCAGATACAATTTTGGATTAGATTTATTGTATTTTCTAGGTTCTACTTACCAGGGCCTATGGAATACAAATTGTATTTATCAATTGAGTGTTTTGTTCGTTTTTTTTTTTTTTTTATCATGGCGATATGTGGATTCGATTAACGGAGCAGAGCGTTTGTTGAGTTTATGTAGATGGCAACAAGTTGATGCATGAAAATATATAAACAAAATTTGCATGAGCTTCATTGTCAAAAACATATGTGCGAGTTTCTAGTAGCGAGCAGCTCTAGATTGTGAGAGTCTAGCTGGGAATTCAAAAAAGATAATTAACCAAGTATTTAAAATAAGTATCTAATAACTTTTGTTAAATAAAGAATGAAGTTATTTTTGAGTGAAAGAGAAACAATATTGTTGCTGACCAAAAAGCTCTAATTATTTTATGTTAACAATTGACTTAGCTCTTTTTAAAGTATAAAGTAAGCTAAATAAATTATAATGATAATAAACTGTGTTATCGTAATTTAAGACTATTTCAAAGCTCTATTTTAGACACAAGTCACAATGTTGAAGTCAAACGTAACTTTGATGCCGGTGTAATACCAGCTAATAACATGATTTAAATAACCTTCTTGGGGGGTGGAGAGCCAGTGGTTGGACTTGCCTCAACTTTTAAATAATTAGGAATGTACCTTATAAATGATGTGACCCAACTCTAAAATTGCGGCATTTTTGGGTGCGGAATTGGGTGTGGCCTGCCTCTAGCTTCAAAATTATGGGAAGATATGTGTTTCTATCGATTTGCAATAATCGCTGTTTATCGATCCTAGCCCCAAATATACATTCGAAGTTTCAAGTCTCATACTTGAAGAAGTGTCGCGTGCTTACACAGACGGACAGTATGACAGTATAAAGGGAATGGTATGGAAAAGTATTGCTTAAAACTATTGAAATTTGCATTAAAAGTTTTTTAATTGAATTGATGTGATGATACCAAGATGCGATTAACATTAGCTAGAGGGGAAGGCAAACATTAATTATTGAATTACAACTAAAAGTTGTTCAATTGGAGTTTAATTTGATGTTGATTGAATGTTAACTAAATAAGTGAAATTATACTTGATGCATGTTTTTTTTTTTTGTGTTTGTTTTTCATTAAATTGCAATCTACAATTTGAAATCATAAGGCAATTAAGTACTTTAAGCTATACGAATTGAGTGCTAAGGGAATTGTTGTTCAACTTCACCTTGATACGCGACACGGCTTCCTCGGCTTGCATCATGCGTGTCGATTTGGTGGGTTGACCCTCGCAGACCAGCTGCGTGGATCCCAAGTATTTAGCCCGGAATAGAACGCCCTCGATGAGCACTGCGCCGCCTGGTTTTTTTTTTGTTTTTTTGTTTTTGATCGAATTAGGTTTTATTGTTTGTAAAATAGAGAAAATCGATTAATAACTGAGCAAATGATAAAACCAATTTGTAAGTGTTTTCGTATATTTTGAGTATATGTATGTGTATGTATAAGTTATTGTTCTGTAAGTTATGTGTGTACAGTTGCAAGCTGCCAGGTGCACCATGCATACATATGTACTAGAGTGTGGATACTTTAATACCAGCATGTATAGTTTGTCAGTATGAACATATAAATACATCCAATCAATTTGGTAATCACTCATTTACATACATTGATGGTTACCCTCAAACTTGCGTTGGTTTGTGGTTGTTGTAAGTGTGTCAGTGTGTTACTGATGTTGTTTTAATATTGTTACTGTTAGTTTTTGACTTAGTTACTGCTACATATTGAAAATGTATCTTACAAAGTATTTTACACACACACAGACACAGTAAAATGAACGAACGAGGCATGCAATAAACGCAAATTTGTCAATAAAATATGCGAAAGAATATAGAAAATACATATTGGTATAAGTACATATATAAATATATAGATACGATTAGCAAATTTGTTCACATTTACTATTATTGATTTGCTTTGCAAACCATATACGTAAGATTTCATACAGTTTCAAATCATTTAAAATAGTATACGCCTGCAGGAGTACAGAGATCATATTTATATAAATATATACATATATAAGGAGAAAATGTTTAAGATGTTTATATAAATATCTTTACCCCCGTTCTCCCCTTGTGGTTTGCAATTTTTTAAAGCAATTAAAACTCTTCTACGTGCCTTGGCAAACAAAAAATAGCTTTTATATATGTATATATTTAATATATGCAATGCCTGCCTGTAAGGGTATTTCAGCTTCGGCATGCCAAGGCCAGATTTTACATTTTATTGTTTTTGGTTAACAGATTCACATTGCAGCTGCGTCTGTTGCTCTTTGTTACCATACGCTACATCTATATTTCCCAACAACATCTAGAACGAACCACATTCCATTTCCAGAAGGCTGGCAAACAATTTATTATTTAGCCAGGTTAATTTCGGAATAACCTGCCCAATGACCCAGTGCTAGTTAAAAGTGCACTCCTTTAGATCAACACTTTTTTTTGGATCTATAAGATACCTTCTAGAATCTACAAGTAACAAATAAATCGAAATAAACATTTTTGTAAACAAATTTAATAATTATTTATAATACTAATACTAATAGTCTAGCCCACTCATTACATTTTGACTAGTCTAATAGGACTACAAAATTAGTGACTTTAGTGACTTTGTAACAACAGTTACTTTTAAACTGTAATATATAGCACTTTCTCTGAGCGACGGGCCTCCAGGTTTATCGGATATCAACAGACAACCAGACGGACACTGCACTGAACTGAATAAACTGAGATTATCGTGTGGGAATAGTCTATAAGGAGCAACAGGAGCGACAATAACAACAACTGACAAAATTATGCTATATATATTTTTTAAATTAATGTATATGTTATGTGGGATTATAGTAATGACACTAAAATTGCAACAATTGAACGAAGGATAAACCCAAAGCATTTACCTTCTTTGCTCTTACTCTTTTTCACTTTTTTCTCGCCGCTGTTGCTGTTGCTGCCTGCCCCGCTGCCGCTGCTGTTGTTGCTGCCGATGGCATCATTGTTGTTGTTATTGTTGTTGTTGCTGCCATTGCTGGTGCCATTGGTATTGGTAACCACATTGCCGCTGGCAACACCCACAATTCCATTGATGCCCCCCTCATTTTCCACATCCAATTTATTAACGCCCGGCACAGAGCCCTCTGAACCCTCACCGCCATTGTTGGGAGTGCCCAGAGTGGGCAAAGCAGCGGCAGCTGCCACCACAGCGGAAGCGACCACGTCAGCAGCAGTGACTGCTGTCATGCCACAAATATCCAAACTGGCGCTGGGCGCTTTTGATGGTGACTTGTCGCTGTGCTCTGAGGAGCTGCGCGAATGGCTTCTCTGTGCGGCTCCAGTACCGCTGACCAAATCCAGTAGCTTGCCAGCTGCTGAGCCACTCAGGCTCGTCGAGCTCTTGGGCGGAATGGGCGGCGGCGGCAGTTCGGGCGTAGAGCTGAGCAGCGCATTGTAACCGTTGCGCGTCTTCGTGCTGGACATTTGCTGCTGCTTGGGCGAGATCTTGGACAGCAGCGAAGTGCGTGGTTTGCGATCCCAACTTTTGTTCTCATCGTAGTAGCCCTGATCGTCGAGACGCTGATGGCCCAGAAGACGATCTGTCTCGAGGTCGGTGTCCACATCCTCCTCGTCGGCGCTATGGTTCTTTGAGTGGTTGTCTGAGCTCGACTCGAGCAGTGCCTTGCCAGCACCGCCATCCAAATGCCGTGACAGCCACACGGGCGAGTTCATCACAGGCGACGGTGAGCGCTGCGTCTGTATTGGCTGCGTGCTGCTGCGCTCGGGTATAGGCGGCGGCGGTGGACCACCGCCTACCACCATGCCACCAACAAGGCCGTTGCTGCTGCTGCAGTTGCTGCCAGCGCTCCTCGGCTTTGGGACGCCAATGCAGGCGGTGGGGGAAGTGCGCTGCAGCGTCGAACTAATCGGCGTGTGCTTGCTGCCTGCCTGTCGGTCAGTGGACTGCAGCAGATCAACATCGCCGCTACAGTTGGGCTTGCGATGCGGTGCCGGCGCTGGCGGCGGCGGGGTCATTTGCGCCATGTCCGGACGGTGGAAAACACCTGCGGAGTAAGTAGCAAAATGTTATTTAACAATATTTAACATGGTTTGATTGAAATGGTAAATATGCTTTATGAAATAGGCCAAGTCTATATATATGTTCAGACGTTGAATCGCATCGACAGCTTGGTTACTTACTTCACTTCTGTAACGGCTAGTCGCATGAAAAAATCGATGTCTTTTACCTTTTAATGTTACAGGATTATAGAAGCCAACCATATACCAAATCTCTTTGAGACTATTTGAGTTCACTTTCAAGTTTCTGGTTCTACTAGTCCCTAAGACAATTGGACTTCACCTTTCATTCTCTAGCTCTAATAGTCTCTAAGACCGAAAAGTTAATACAGAAAGACAGACGGACACATCTATATCGACTCGGCTGCTGATGTTCATCACGAATATGTATACATTATACTTTATCTGACACAGTCAAGACACAGTCACGAATAGTAAAGGCAGACGAGAATAACCAGAAAATGAGAAAGAAAGAGATAGAAAATCAATGAAGCTTAAACAATGCGTTTGACACCAGAAACTTTGACAAATCGATATGGTGTTGTGACGGTGAAGCAACTAGTGTGCTGCAATGAGCAATTACAATTCGCTACTTTCCGGAAATACTGAAGTTGTTCGGAACGATGCAAATGCTTTATCGCTGTTCAGACCGATAGCAAATTTATTCAGCTCGAAGGAATTACCCAGTAAAGATTGGGTAATATATTGTAATTAATCTTATTTAGATGCGTATAACTGGATAAGACTTTACGTACTGATAGAGTAAAGGGAATCCAGCTCTGGATCTATGTTTTTGAACACTTTGCTGTTGCTGTTGCTGCTGGGACTCTGTCCAAGTAATTCACGCTGTTGTGGCTGCTGCTGCTGTTGTTGTTGTTGAAGTTGAAGCTTTAGCAGGACATTGCTTGGGCTCGTATGGCTGAGCTGGTGACCGACTCCGTTGCTGTCCGTTGTGGAGGCAGTCAGATTGTGCATGCTGTTTAGACTGTTGTTGGTTGAGATGCGTTTCATGTCCATTAACATGGAGATGCCACCACCAATGCTGGTGCTAGCGCTGAGACTACCCTGACCCTGACCCTGACTCTGACCCTGGCCCTGGCTCTGACCCTGGTTCAATCCCTGTAACTGGCTCGGATCAAGCTGAGCTGCAATCTGTTGTAGGTTTTTGTTGTTATTATTATTCTCGGTGTCGCTGGTGTGCCCCGAGGAGAGGCCATCTTCCAATACTGGCATAGCTGAGGCATAGTACTTGGCGTAATTTGAACAGGAAGTCGACACGCCGCCATTCATCTCGCCGGAGAGGCCTATTAACAGATTAAAATATTAGCTAGACGGGACCCAATTGGAATATAATTGTCAACTACTACTCACTGTCAAGATCACCGCAGTTGGAATCGTAGTCGGTTGTCTCCGGCGAGTAGCGATAATTATGGCCTGTTAGAGCGCCACCAACGCTCTGCCCAACGCTTTGTCCCAATCCGCTGCCGCTGCCTGTGCTCAGCAGCTGGTTGTGATTGAGCCCATCCTGTTCGCCATCTCGCTCACCGCTGCTGCGGCTGGCCGAGTCCAAGAAGAAGTCAAAGTCGCGCATTAGCGGACTTTCGCTATAATGGCGCGGCAACTGTGCCGGACGTGACTGCAGTTGGGCTTCAAGCTGCAACTGCTGCGGCTGAGTGTAAGTGCCATAGACGTGACGCTCCAATGGTGGTGGCTGTTGCAACAGCAGCTGCTGCTGGCGATAGTCCTGCTCGATGGGCTCATCTTCGTCGTCGACCTCATCGTTTTCGTCTTCGTCTTCCTCCTCTTCCTCGTCTAGTTCTACCTCACCACGTTCTAGGTTGCTGTGGAACTCGTACTGTATGTCCTGCAATGGAAATGTATCATTTACACAAAAGGATCACGTCATCAGATGGCGGTGGCGGCGGCTTACACGGGTAATCTAAATACGGTCCAAATAATTTAATTTTAATATTAAGTGATTTTAAGCATTTTTTGAGAACCATTAAGAACCGTTTGTTGTAAAAAAACAATAAATATTTCATATGCAATGCTTTCTGAGAAGTTTGACTAACGAATAACTATGTAATACAACTACGGAGGAACATTTTTTATTTAAATGATTTGGATTTATCTTAGACTCAAAAAAGTAAAGTGAAATTCAAATTTGGTTTCAATTGTAAAACTAATTGTCGTGAAAATGGCAGAAATTAACATTTTCTTCTAGAATATATATTCTTGATCAGCATGAGCTGCCAAAGTGTGTGACCGTTTGTCTATCATAGGAATTCTACAAGAAAGTTTCTCCTAGTTTTTATAAACGTATTCCTTATACGGAATATGTTTTACATTTACTCTATATAAATCTCACTGCCTCCACCATGCCATGGAATATAAAATAGTTTAATTACAATGCTGTCAACGTCACTGCCATTTTCCATGATGGGTTGTTCGTCATTTGATGGACACTTGAAGAACTCCTCCAGCACTTTGCGCGTCTCAGAAAATTCATAGAGGTAATCAAAGGTCGAGGATTTGGTCGGCAGGCTTAATGGGCCTGGAGCTAGGGCCGTGCCCACTGTCGAAGAGCTGGCAGCAATCGTTGTTGTTGCTGCTGCTGTTGTAGTTGCAACTGTTGCGGTTGCAAACGTTACTGCTACTGCTCCTGTCGGAGGCGGAGGCGGCGGCGGAGTATCAGCCGCACAGTTCGTCAACTCATTTGACGTGGCCGTAATGATGGCCTCGGGCGTGGTCAGATCGGATATGGTGCCAATTTCCGAGACATCATTGCTAGTATCCTCCGCATTGTTGTCGCTGCAGACCGGCTTATTGTTGTTGTTATTGCTATGGTTACTGCCGTTGTTGTAGTGTTGCTGCTGCTGTTGCTGCGTTGGCGAGCCACTGCGCAGCTCCCGCGGTGGCGAAATAATTCGCTGTGGAGTGCAGAATGAATCATTAAATCAGTTCTCAATGTGGCAAGGATGATATTTAGTATAGAATAGGATAGGATAAAAATAAATGTTAAAAATTACATTTAAATAGATTGGGAAACTTATAATGTAAAATCTGTAACACCAGATAAGAAACCAGGACATATTAAAATGTAAAATGCTCCACCATTACAAAGATTAAAAAAAATCAAAAGGATAAAAAAAGAAAATCTGATTTACCTGTGGAAAGCCGGGCCGCACGGGATATGCCGGAGCCTGTTGTGGTTGCGACTGCTGGCATTGGGCAAGTGCGGCAAATGCTGCACGTGCCGCCGTCTTTTGCAACGAGCTTGCCGCAGCCGTATTGCAGCCCAATGTTGGCAGGGCGATCTTTGCGGAGGCTTCAACTGTTGTTGCTACTACTCCTGATGTTGCTGCTGCTGTATCAACTGGTGGTTCGCTTTCGTCCTCTGCTGGACTGCTGCTGCTGGCAGCGACGCCAATGCGCCGTGGTGAACCCTCGTATTCTGTAATTAAATTGTATGAGAAAACTCGATAAAGAAGCTAAACCAATAGTCACATACCAATGATGCCATGACGCGACTCTACGGCCAGCGTATAGTTGCGCTCCAGCTGCCAGGTGTCCAGCTTGTGCTCCCGATAGAGCGCCACATCGTCCAGCAAGCGGCGCGTGTGCGGCTCCAGCATTAAATGGGAACGACATTGTCCCTTGTCAGTAGTGGTCTGCTGCTGTTGACTGCACTTGTTCTCATCGGCGGTCAGAGCATTCGGCTGGGTCGTCACACGCAGATCTGTACAAATGCAAAAGTGTGTTTATTATATTTTATACGTATACCAGAAACCGAATCCAAATCGGATTGCGGTTATTACTTATTGCTTTTACTCAGCTACCTGTCTGGCTAATTTGACATTCGCAGTTAATTGGACAAACAACTGAATACTCGATCAATGCAAGCAACGATACAATCAAATCGATATACGCACACTCGATTGTGCAGCCAAATCTAATTTGTAACAAATTGCAGACCAAAATTGCTAATTCCAAAAGAAAATAATATATATATATTTGAATGCTCTAAATAGACACTAATTTTTCTTTCATTTACAAAAAAAGGCAAAAGATTGTTTTTAGCCAATCGATAATATCGGCTTGCAACAGCTGCAATTTTTGCAATTCGCCCGATTATAATTGATGTTTATCGTTTGATCGTTTGATCGATTCTTGGTCAGTCTGATGCTTTTAATTGTCGTTGGTGTTCTGTATTTGCTTATTGTATATTTACAATGCACTTCAATTACAATTACAATACAATTACCGGACCCAGAATATCGCAATATTTTTCAACAACTAGTTATCCAAGCTTTAAATGCATTATAATCATTCGAGCAGTGGACGAGTTTTGCACGGCTATGAAAAATAACAATTCAAAGCTCATAACTAGCTTAAGGCTTGAGATAAGTCTTAAGTGTTGAATAGCCTTAAAAATAGTAGCAAACTTAATATGCCCACTCAATTCAAATCAGTGCCGACGAATCAAATATGGATAACTCTTGCGTGGGTGCAAAGCAACAAAAAAGCTCTCATTCAGAGTACCATGGAAATCACAAAAGTTTATGTGTATTTGTACATGTGAACGATCAAGAAAATGCTTTGACATTACACAAAGACTTCTCGAAAATTGCAACTGTCTCTCATTATTTATTTCCTATTCTATCTAAATTCTTCGTCGACTTACGTTGCCAACTTTCGGCTGGATCTGCTGCTGCATATCCTCCCGTCGATGACTCATTGACGCTGTTATTAATTAGCCGATGAGTTCGATCGTCACCATTGCCGTGACGCTTGCGCTGCTGTTGCACTGCCGATAAGTGGCTCAGGAGTTTATCGCTTGCCGGATATACGTCCTGCTGCAGCTGCATATGCTGCTGTTGTTGCTGCTGTGGTTGTTGTTGTTGCTGTTGGTGCTGTTGTTGATGTTGGTGCTGTTGTTGTTGCTGTTGTTGCTGTTGTTGTTGTTGCTGTTGTTGCTGTTGCTGTTGTTGTTGCTGTTGCTGTTCTAGCAACAGGTGCTCCCGTTCTCGATCTCTGTCGCGCCCTCGCTCCAGATCCCGCTCCCTTTCGCGATCTTCGCGCAGCCGCTGCTTGCGCTGATCACGTGGCTCCCAGTCAGCCACTTGCTGATCCGACGAAGACTTGCTGCCATACAGATAATGACTGGCCAATGGTGTCAGACCCTCAGCACACGGATCGCTGCCCACAGTCGACGACTGTTGTTGCGAAGAGTAGTTGTGATTCACAGGACTGCGACCCACGCGCAGCACATGCGGAGCTTGAAGGGATTGAGCTTGGGCTTGGTTATGCCGTTGTGCTATGCTGTACAGTTGTGGTGCCAGCTGTTGATGATAGGCTCGTCTCGCTGAAGCGTGCATGTGTTGTTGCTCTTGCTGCTGCTGCTGTTGTTGTTGCTGCTGCTGCTGTTGTTGTTGTTGCTGCTGCTGCTGCTGTTGTTGTTGGTGTTGTTGATGTTGGTGATGTTGCAGTTGTTGCTGCTGCTCATCCGGATACTCTGTGGGTGAATGGAGCAATGTGCTGGCACTTGGTGTCGCTGACTCCCAGTAGTTCTCCTTGATAAAGGGATTTTGGCTACCGTTGCCAAGATTGTTGGTGGTTGTGTTGCTGTTGCTGTTGCCGTTCAGAAGCGCGTAATGTTGCTGAGGCTGCTGATGCTGATGCTGCTGATGCTGCTGCTGCTGCTGCTGATGATGATGATGATGCTGCTGCCTGCCTGCTGATGTTGCACTGTTGCGTTTGCGCGGCATATCCATATAGCTGTGGCCACGTGACCGGTTCTCGCCCGTATGATAGTAGAAGGATGCTGGATACGCCGTCTGTGGCACCGTCTCCTCAATTAGCTCCAGCTCCTGATGCTGCTGCCGCAACTCGTCGTCGTTGTCCTCGGTCAAGACAATGGCGTCAATATCCGTATCGACGTCACCTGCGGTCAGTGCTCGCGAATCGTGTGCTGGCGGCGATGGTGGTGTTGGTGGTGACAGCGGTGCGCACAGAAAGGGATTTGTGGATATGCGAGGCGTGACTGAGGACAGCGATTCCGAGGAATGTGACGACACCGAATGCGGCGGCGGTGATTGTGTTATAATGTTAACACTCTTATAGTAGCTGGGCGTGGCAGTGGATAAGCTGCTGCTGTTCCCAGTTGTCTCTGCAACACCAATTGTTGGTGCTGTGACAATGGTGCTACTATTAAGATTTACATCATCAATGGCTTCATGATGCTGTCGGCTGCTGTTGCTGTTGTTGCTGTGCGACGGCTGCTCTTGCTGGAATTGCTGATGTTGATATTGCTGTTGCTGCTGCTGTTGCTGTTGCTGTTGCTGCTGCTGCTGCTGTTGCTGCTTGGGACGGCACTTGGGAAAAAGCAGATTTATCTGATCGTTAAGCGGTGGTGATGGCGAAAGCACCGCTTGCGATAGGCTCAATGGCTGCTGCTGTTGCTGATAACTGTTGCTGTTAGTCTTGGAATTACTGCTGTCACAATCGTTCTCCAAACCGTTGAGCGCGTAATAATTACGCTGCTGAGCGGCTGTTGCTGCTGCTGTTGTTGCGGATGATTGTAGGCGTTGGTAGCTGCTGTTATTGCTGTTGCTGCCGTGTGGCTGCTGCGGCAGCTGCTGCTGCTGCTGATGATGGTGATGATGATTACTGCTACTAGTTGTATGTCCAGCAGCCAATGTCGTCAATGTTGTGCTGACCATTATTGTTGCCAATAAACTGCAAAGAAAGAGACGGACAACAAGAATGTAGTTGATGGGAGTGCTGCTTTTAATATGGGCGATTGTTATTCAAAAAAGTATGCCGATGAGGCAAACAGCCGAGGCTTATTCCCTTTTCCATTTTTTTTTTTTCTGCTTACACGCTTCACGTCCAGCTGGCAGTTGTTTTAATAAATGCAGGCGCAGTGTCAACCTTTGTCATGTTCGAGCGGAAACAGACCGTGACAGTAACGAGTTCTGTCACAAAAACTGTTGCTGCTGCTGTTGCCGTTGTCAGCTGCTGGCATGGGTATGTTGCTCACTTATTGGCTGCTCAGCCAACGCAAATTGCTGTTGTTAGGCTCACTGATGAAATTAATGGTTGGCATTGCGTATAAAGTGTGCAGGACACTCACAGAAACAGCAATATAAAACAAATAAATAAATAAATAAACAAAGTAGCCAATCAATGTCATTGAGTTGACTCTTTATATTCTACATTTTAAATTGGGTACCAAATAAGAATAATCCCCTTGTGGATCGCATGTGACGTGCAAGTGACATTCGAGTCACAGTGAAGCCTATCTTTTAGCGTTTCTTTTATAATTAGTAGAAGTATATGGTATAGACAAGTGATACTGCGAAGATCACAAGTAGAACCCGTAACAAAAACCATTTTGAACAATATGTGCCCTTAAGTGTTAAGACTCTCAGTTGAGTCACGTGTAAAATATTCATATGGATGACATGTAAAAAGCATTTGACGGAAATATTTACCAGTATACCAGCTATCAACACCATGTGGATCATATATGGAAAGGGCTTTTATAAAGTATTATAATTCAATTACTTGCAGATTTGAGCATGGGCGGCTTTAAATACAAAATACAGCTGAAGGATTGACGAATAAGGAATTCAACCCACAAGTGACTCCTCCCTCCTTGTTTCTCTTCTGTCATTTGCTCCATTTTTGAACCCTATGCGTTATGCATTCGATACGAAGCCTTTGTGCATTGAGCTTAATAAATTTTTTCAACAATGAAACCAAAAATTTGCAAAGGGATTAACAATAACACGTAACTGCCTGACTAAGATATACCCTCCACAAAGCACACAAAGCACATACATTCGACATTGCTTATACATACAACATTCCACAGACTGCTGTGAATCATGCCCGATTTTCATTTATAGATTTAGAGAGCAGAAGGATAAATAAAATGAAGATCATACCTCTCTAAATTATTTAATTTATACTGTGTGTATTAATCTTGCAGAAACATTAAAGTAATAAATAAATGAATCAGTAAATAAGACACAATTATTAATTTAAGCTCTGACAGTCTCTGAAATCGGTAAGTTCACACAGATGAAGGACAGACAAGTATATATAATCTATCTATGCGGTCAGAGATGTTTCCTTATATCTGTTGCGAACATTGGCCCAACGTCATGATACCCATTTGAATGAGTATATATTAGTACATTTGTATATGTGCATATGTAGCCTTGACTAAGCCATGACGTTGTTGTTATCGTTGTTGTTGTGCATCTCGCAACGCTTTGTGCACTCATATGGAAAATATGTTTTCGTTTCTGGAGCAAAGGAGAGTGAACGGAGTGTTTGTGTGTAGAGCACGCTTCGCTTGGCTTTGGGTTAGATTAAAGGGGAAATCAGGAGGGGTCGGGTGGGGGGTTTGGCAGGCCCAAAAACCAACACAACAGCTAACAAGGTATAACATCAAGGACAACCAACTGGAATGGGAGCCAAACATTTTGTTAACGGCTCCGACACAAAGCACGGCTAGCTGGGCAAACATTTTCATTGCCTGACATTTATGCTCTGTGGATGCTCGGTGCTCGGTGCTCGGTGCTCGGTGCTCGGTACTCGGTGTTCGGTGCTTGGTGCCCCGTGTCCATGTCAGTCATTTACCCCTGACACCCGCTACTCCCACAACGGTGCTATCTATGTGGCAACAGCACTGTAAGCCATCTATCTGCCACTACATTCATCTTCACATTTTCGCATCTAGACGTCGCCTCGCATCGCCTGGCATTTCTCGCATCTACATCAATCTGTCACTTCAAATCCGTTCTTGCCGTTCTTTTCTTTTTTCTCTGTCTGTCATCGCTCAGCAGCTGCCTGTTGCCATTTTGGCCATTTTGCCAGGATGTTTGTCTGTCACTGTCATGTGTATGTGTGCGTGTTTCCGTTCTTTGTCTATCTTAAGCAGCTCCTGACAGCAACTGTGAACAATCCGTTCACGGACAGGATGCGTGTGAATGTATATGTGTGTGAGTCGCATTGCCTCTACTCTGGCTTGGCTCAGATCGAAGCAGGATCAGAATATGTAAGCGTACCTTCAGATCATCACCCAATGCTTGTCAAGTGCTGTCAACAAGTGTATTTGAGCTGCTAAGCTCATCTTTAAGTGTGTTCCATTAAGCATGCCGACAGTTACTAAAAAAAACTCATAAACTGCTTACAACTTGTAAGTGAGTTGGAGTTTAACCCACTCTCTTGAATAAAATCCACCAGGTCCATTCAATATGATTAGTTGCAGAAAATATCTCAAATAAGATGCCACAAAATTTATCTGTATCATGCTCTTGAGTATATTCAAACTTATAGCTTTCAACAATAATATAACAATTTAAAGTGAGTGACTGAAGAAAGTTCTTTGCTGAAAGTTGCTCTACTTTGATTAAAAGTTATACGGCGTACTTGTACATGCAATTTTGGGCCTTATCATCTCACAAGTTTCAAGAAAAGTATTCCGCAAAGTATATTCGGCCATTCCTAATGTAAATTCAAGAGCTATAAGTACTACCCCAATTGACAAAAGCGTAATCTTTACTATTGGACAAAAACTGTAAAATATGTATTTGCAAAGAAGGCATCGCCAGCTTGTACGGCGAGGTTAACCTTCAACGCGACTTTGCCTCCAGCATAATGAACGGAATTGTAACAAGGAGCAAACCTGACAACGCGAACAATTACAACTATAAAAATGGTAGACGAAGGACGACAACAAAATGTGATTATAATGTTACTATTTATAATTTCATTTGGTTGCCTTCATCAAATAATAAGGAAGATGTATACTTTAAATTAAATATAAGAAAAATACTTAGACATTCAGAAATTAACAGTGAACATATTAAAGCTAAGTCCAGCGAAAAGGCTGACGGCCTTTTAAACCATTTTAATAGAAAAAATACGCATTTCTATTTGATACACATTACACAGAGATAAAACACACATTAAGCACACAACTCACACTCTTAAAGACAATTCATTAATTTTCATCGTTGTGCTGCCATCCACATTCCTGGAAGCCTGGAAGCTGCATAATTAAGTTGTAATTTCAGCACGAGGCAGGTGCAATCTGCATGTAGTATCGGTAGCTGCCTCCTTTGAGTTCTATTAACTTAATGCCTCCTTAAGTGACGTATCACACAACTCTTTAAATATTTAATATTAATTTCACTTTGGGCAACTTCAATGCACAGGTGCGGAAATGCACAGCCAATTGCAGTGCAACGAGACCGATGCAAGGCATCCTACTCAGTTGGAAATTATATGGAAAATTAAAAAAGTATTTATTATATTTGATGTGAAAATATTAAACACAAATGAATTATTTGAAGACGAAAACTACACACACTACTAATATATGTAGTTGACGAGCGCTTGGAGTTCTCAAACTGTTTTGGGCGCTTCTAACTGACTCTGTTTAGAACAATAATGAGCAACTCTTTAGTAGTTCAATTGCTACTTAACATTCGCCTTAATGTGTATTCATAGATTGGGTTTCAAAGTAGTGATAGCCACGGTCGTGCCACGCCAAGCTGCTGGCCGGGGTAATAAATCAAAATCAATTGTAACAGCCGTCTGAGCCATGCACATGACCCCAAAGGGGCACAACTGTCCGCAACGTCAATTGTCATGGTGGTCGTATACGTTGGGGTATAGGGGGGGAGAAGGGTACGGAGCTGCTGCCGTCATTACGGTCTCATATTGTGGCAGGACGGTGCGACAGACGGAACAACGGACGGCTGTGATGACATTAATTATGCAAAAAGTAAAAAAGCGAATGAGCGAATGAGCGAGACAAATAGATGAATTTCGATTCACTGCGCGAAAGAGATAAATTGTGTACAGACTGCCGGTCAAATGCACGCGAGGGTGGCCCGTTATAAATTAGGGCTTAGAGATGGGAAAGTGGCATGCTTTCTTTGTGTGATACCAACACGCACGAGTGAATGGGATGTGGTAGTGCATCGACTCAACTTGACTATACACTAGCTTAGAGGCCCTTCTCAACATAACAAAAGTATAATGCAGTTAAAGGAAAAATAAGACTTAATGAAAACAGAAGAGATCGGGTATTTTCCAATAGGTATTTGCTAAAAAAAAATTGCGATGTCAAACAAAATAAAATAACTTAATGACTGTGATAATATTTGTTAAGATATGGCAGCTTCATGCTGATAATTCATAGAATAAGATCAGCAACTAGTAAGTCAGGATTGGATCGGAGATACCTGCTGACGTCTGTTAGGCAAATCAAAGTCGTGCTCATCTCTATTTGGCGGCTGACTTCGGCGTTTGCATGTCGGACTCTGGGAAAATTCAACATGTAATTGTGGTTTCGCGTATGCTGAAAATGCAGCGTGCATGCTAGCGAATAGATCCAATAACAATCCCCCTCTTTGCATGTACATACATTTGTGCATAATTACTCGTAAATTTATGTATGAACACTTATGTATGCATTATCTTAATGGGTATTCAAAACATTTTATGCTCATAATTCAACAATGGAGTTCTTAGTCGCTTAATGCGCTTCAAATTTGCTGCTTTCATTTACTTTATCAGGCAGTTGCACTAATATTTTAAGCTGCTGTTTTTTTTTTATCGTCATCCACAGCAGACATTTTGAAAGCGCTTTAGAAACGCCTAGAGATGGGCGGGTATCTATTGTATTTACATACGTCGTCAGAATACACAATTTC